AAGGAGGCACTGGTTTCTGCCCATGCAGACGTGAAACAAGCCAGCCCATACCACTGTGGCCATCGACCTCGTTAATAGCAGGAGTGGGCAGCAGAGCCGCGGGAGACTGCCACTTTCAGCATGCGAACTGAACCCAATCCTAAGCGAAAGCTAACAAGCCGACAGATGTCCTGTGCTTCTCCTTTCCAGCCACTGCCGTGCGTCTTTCCCCAACTGGGGTTGTGCAAATTCTCCTTCTCTAGTAGCAGACTCCACTTGGCACTGAGGCTGCAGCATGACGCAGCACTATGCACAGAGGTTGCAGGGCGGGATGCAGGCCTCCACTGCAGACATCCAGACTTCCTGATCTGCAGCCTGGTCTGAAACCAAGCCTGACACTGCAGATGGAGGCTGCTGGAACTTGACTCCCATTGCTTTGTGGATAACTGTGCCAGGAAGCAATGGGCTGACCAGCGATTCCTGGGGTTGTGCACCAGTCTCCTGGAGCACAACACTGGGGTAGGTGGACTGGGCACTGAGATTTTCACCTCTGCACAGAAGTGACCAGCAGGGAAGAAAACCCCACTGTGTGTTTATCAGACATTAATAGCAATAGGGCAAAGCACAGTCAAAAACTTCAGCTGTCCTGGAAGTACCCATTCATCTCGGAGTTCGGAGGCTTGCTAGAAAGCATGTCAGGTTCTCAGAACAGGGCCCCTGAGGGTCCTGCTGACACAGCAATTACATGTGTACCCTCTGGCATTACATGTATACCCACAGAAACTAGGCCTTTAAATACCTCTGCTCGGACCTCACATCTCCAAAGATGAGGGATCTTCTTTATTCATCACCAAGAAACAACAGACAATCCCACATAATTCTGCCAAGGGGCCAACTCAGACACAGGGACCTGGGAGCCCAACACAGAGATTGGGACGAACCCAGGGTTCAGACCCTTGCTCAGAACAGAGGATAATGCACTGCCGCTGTCTAGCATAGCTCCCAAAGAGGCCAGGTGAGCAGGAGGCACTGACAGACATGCTCACAGATGGAAGGACACTTCAGAAAGTGAGATGACAGAATAGAGGAAGAACAGATGGCGCAGACAAGGACTCTGCTGGAGAAGTGAGAACGGCTGATGAAAAGCAGGGGAAATGACTGAACTCTGAGAGGAGCCATCAAGGCCCAGAGCTTATGAACCAAAGCATGATCTGACTTGTACAGAGATGTTGAGACCCTTCAGATCATAATGATCAACCAGCAGTTCTGCCCAGGATGGCAAACCTTGGGCTTCAGGGGTTAAGTCAACCTCTGCCCATTAGAGACAAGGTATCATACAGCTATCTAGGGCTAGGGCTTCTGCACTGTCCACAGCGTCTAGTCCTGGC